CTACTGGGTTTACTGGGATTTACAGGCTGCATCTGAATCTACCTGTTTTTTTTCTTTTTAATGAAGCTTGAACATTACAGCAAAACAAGAATAAACTGCATCTAACATCCATTACTGCTCCTTAAAAGGGATGATTAAACACCATGTAAAGACAAAGTCAGACACGTCTCACAGCAACCAGCCTGTAGATCAGATCCTGCAAAGAAGTTTTTCTGATTTTACTTTTTACTTTAGTTTCTGAGCAACAGAAAACATGAACTCAAGACAGGAAAATCAAACTGCTGAAACAAACTGAACAATGTTAAACATTTCGGATAACCTGCTGCTGTCCCTCCTACCTGTCTCTCTTCAGGCTCCGCCTCCCTCAGAGGTGAAGCTCTGACTCATTCCAGAAAGCAGCTCAGCCTCAGGTTCACCTTTCAAGTCTCTTCAACACTTTGGGAAGTTTGAGCAAACAGTAAGTTTATCATTATTCATATCAATGATTCCCTGTAAAGAAAGACTTGAAATTTTGATACCAGGAAATATTTCCTCCACATATGGCATTTTATTTTATGTTCTAGTTTCTCCTTTGATCCAGTTGTATTTCACCCTGCTTAATATTTTCTAATATATCATGGTACAATGGTTAAAGCTGTGGGTAAGTCTAGCTAATCCTCTGCACTAGACTCTGGTTCTAGGGGCCTTTTTTTATTCTGGGTCCCTGCCCCTTCACTGGTCTCTGCACGGCCCTGCTGGGAAATTTCCCAGTCAGACATGAAATCAACCTTTTCTTTGCTTCCAAGCTGAAAGAAAGTGAAGCTCATAGTGAGAACATTTCCTGAACAGTTCAAGATGATTTCAGGGAGAAAATGATCCATATAGAAACGGATCAGAATGAAAGAAGAAAGAGAGATTAAAGTCCATCTAAAGCTCTAAGATTTGCTCCCAGTATATCTGCTGATGTTGACTAGAAATGAGCGAAAAACTGAGAAAACGTCTTAAAAACCAGAAGTTTAAATCTGACCTCAGTGTTTTACAGCTCAGTTTATTGTTGATTCGAAGAGAAGAAGGAATGAAAGGAAACATGTTTAAACAGGTGAGCACACCTTGACAGGGGGCGGAGCCTCAGGGGAGGCAGAACCTGATCAGGAGGAACACGTTCTGTCACTCAGTGGGTTTTCTCTCTCTGTGGACTCTGGAGGGAACCAGAACCAGAACTCTTTTATTCAGACAAAAACTGAATTTGATAAAATAGGAGAGAAGATTTTTAAGAATAATTTTAAAGCTGAAGTTCTT